CCAATCCTGATGTGGGGGGCTCCAATCCACCTGCCCCCCCACTCTACCACAGGCTAGACAAACACCAAAATGGTGTTCCCTACCTTCTCCCCCTCCCATCCTGAGACAGCACCACAGCTGGGAGAGGGCAAGGCGGGGCTATGGGAACAGGCCGCAGACACGCAACCTCTCGTGCTGGATCAGCTCCAAAATGAAGCTCGATCCTCCATCCAACAGTGAATGTTTGTTAGGTTGGGAGGGTTGGTCTAACTCATGGCGCTTTCTGTAAAGAGAACCCTTGAAAGAGTTGGTGAGGCTTAGTCAACTTTCTTTTACAGAGCAGCTGATAATAAACAGCTTGAATAAAAGTCTCTTCCTTTTGGTGCCCACAATGTCATAAATCTTTGGACTTTTTAGGGCATTGACTGCAAAGAAAAGCTGTTCTCTAAATATATTTGCAATTTAAAGCCCTCCCTAATATGGATACAATCATGCTGTCATGACAGACTTTATACTGGTATGGATTAAGAAAGGAACCAGTGTCAATTTATGGTTCATTTATAGGCATATGATAGGAGTTCTCACATAAGTATATTGGTAAAAAATTGCCAAAATAGCAAAAAGTGCATGTGAGCGAGGCCTGGTTTTCAACAGGATATTTTAGGACAAATATGCCCTTCAAGCCTTCTTTGTATAACATAAAGAAGCAGAAAAGAGTGCAAACTCAATCCCTCCCTCCTTCCCCCCAACCCACCTGCCTGTCACTTTCAAAATGGGAGGAAGATGGGTTATATTTCTGGGCCCACCCTTGTCTCCCGCTGTGTACTAATGGAGTACATAACAGTCTATCAGTCAGTTCATCAGTCAGTTCTAGAAAGTTCAGCAATTGCAAACATTGCATCAGTAAGAACCATACTTTGTCTCTCTTTCTCTGGCATGCTGTCTGTATGCACACACATTGGGCCTGATCCCTCAAAGTACTTCTGAGAACCCCTTTGTTCAGAGACTTCAAAGAGAATTGAGAGCACTTGGTATCTCACAGGATTAGGCTCTCTGTGTATGTGTACGCCAGCTCTAAAGATCATTTGGAAGGCATGTTAACCTTCTGACACCTATATAGCAGTAGAGACTGTAACTTCAGAATACACGTCATCTCCAAGAGGAAGGCCTGAATCCAGAGATGACATCTCCACTGCTAGTCATACCTGGTGGTTAGTCCTATCCACAGTATTGGCAGTGGAGGCATGTTCACGAGTATTTTGTCGGATTCTGGTGGAGTTTTGCTGCTCAATGGTTGAGGAAGTGGGAATGCAGAACTCTCTGAAACATCTTTTGAAGTTCTCATCTAGAAATGCATAAAGGACTGGATTAAGGCAGCTATTTGTATACCCTAAAGCAATACAAAAGTGCCAGGAGACAGTTTGAAAAGTAGTTTCTGGAATATTGATCAAGGCTTTAATGATGACATAAATGTGGATTGGAGTCCAGCAGACTATGAACACTGCCACCACTACAAGGACCATTCTTGTGATTCTCCTCAGGTTCCTGTCCTTTTCTTTGGAGCCAGATAGCATACGGACACTCTTCAGGCGTAAAATCATCAGGCCGTAGCACACTGTAATGATCAGGACTGGCATGATGAAGGCAAAGATGAAAACACAGATTTTCAGCAGATTCTCCCAGTACCAAGATGGATGAGAGAACGTAAGTGTGCAGTCAATGGAGCCTAAAGTAAAAACAAAATGACAGAGAAGAGTGAGCAGTTCAGTTTTTAAATTGCTTTTCCTTTTGTCTTTATTTTCCCCAACACTGTACAGCAATCTGATGCAATTCTATAAAATGAGTAACTAAAAGGAAGCAAAATGTATTTTATCACAAACACACACATCAGAGGCATGTAATGCTATTTCAAGAATTTTGTTTAGCCTTAAAATTTACAAACCAAAATAAGACAAACCCTGTACTAGTTTGCATTTTATTACTTGGAATTTAGCTCATGTTTGACAAAAGGTAATAAGTTGAGGTTGAATCAATTTTTAGTTTCAGCATAAAACCCAGGGAATGAGGAAGTTTAAAAGTTTGGGAGTTAAAGGGAAATGAAAAAGAGAGATTATATGATAAGTTAGGGAATCTGTCTCTGTGACACTTCTAAATTTGTGTTTGTGATAGGAGGCCACAGTGGATGTAGACTCTACTACGTGCAGTGAAAGCATAATTATCCAGACTAAGGGCAAAACCTTAAAGATTGTCTCTTTAGGTGGAAGCATCCTATGATAAAAGAGAGACTGAAATAAAGAGAACTAGTTTCTAAGAATCCAAAGTATTTGATATTTTGCTTTCAAAACCAAAAAGGGTGGGTGAGTCAGCAATCCTCAAAGATGCACAGGAAGAGAGAGGCTCATTTTCATAACAGAAAGTGTCTTCTTCAGTGGTGTGATTAGCTAAAGTCTCCATCATTTGAAGGAAAATACATAAGCAGTGAAGAAGTTTCTTTAGAAGATTCTGACCTTAGCTCAGAGGTGGAAGCAGGGAAATGCATATAGAATTTATACATTTGTACCTGTGTATTTCTTGTGCTATTTAAGAAATGGAGGATTTGTTTTAGAATCCTATGCAATGTTTTTTGTGTTACTTGCTATGCTTAGGATGAAAAGCTAAACTGCAAAAACGTGGGTGGAGTTTTGAGAAAGGATTCTGCTCAATTTAATGGAGAATCTGGATGAATAACGCTGTTCTCTGGGGATGATTTCCATTAGGGATTAATGGTCTGTGCCTGGTAAATGTTCAAGAAAGACCTTGGAAAGGAATAGTGCTGTAGTCAACTTTGACCGAAATAACCTTAGAGCATAAGTGACCAGTCAACTGGGACCCAATGATGAATGAGGAAATTTCTACTAATGAGAGTCCAGCCAGCCTGTTTGTCAACAGATGATTTTCCAGGTATACAAAGACCTGCAGATAAAAATAAGAAAAGGGGACAAGGAATACTAGGGGGTGAATAGTAGGAAGAGTGCCTTCACAGTCAGGCAAAGTTTAAATTTTATGTGAAAATATGTCAAAGCTTAGTTGCCCAGTCCTGCAAGGTGCATGCTTTCCCATGTGCTTACTTTTAAGTACATTCAAATCAATTTGACCATTCATATGTTCAAGTGCATCTCTATTTAGAACAGCACTTAAGTTTGTTCCTGTGTGGTCTCCTGAAATAGGACTTGAAGGACTGAGCCCTTGAAGAGAGGTACATGACCTCCCACCCAAAGTCCTGAGCTTGACCAGGAGTTTGCC